CTGCCCCCGCCGCCCCGGGGCCCGCCCGAGGGGCCTCGGGGGGCCGCGGCGCCGGAGGACGAGAACGAGGAGCCGGGGGACCCGGAGGGGGAGGAGGAGGAGGAGGAAGAGGAGCCGGACCCAGAGGCCCCCGAAAACGGCTCGTTGCCCCGGTTCGTGCCGCGCTTCAACTTCACCCCGAAGGACCTGACCCGCTTCGTGGACTTCAACATCAAGGGGCGCGATGTGATCGTGTTCCTGCACATCCAGAAGACCGGGGGCACCACGTTCGGCCGGCACCTGGTGAAGAACATCCGGCTGGAGCAGCCGTGTAGCTGCAAAGCCGGCCAGAAGAAGTGCACCTGTCACCGGCCCGGCAAGAAGGAGACGTGGCTCTTCTCCCGCTTCTCCACCGGCTGGAGCTGCGGGCTGCACGCCGACTGGACGGAGCTCACCAACTGCGTGCCGGCCATCATGGAGAAGAAGGACTGTCCCCGCAACCACAGCCACACCAGGTACTGTCCCCTGCCCCTCTTCTCCTTACGACCCTGGGCGACCCCGCGCTCCCTGCGCGTGCCCGGGGCTCTCCAACACCTTCCTTCGGTTGGGGCAGAGGCTTTGGGAGAGGGATGAGAAACCTCTGGATAATAATGCCTGGGTCTTGAATTCTCTCCTCCCCCAACCCCCACCGCTTCCTGCCACCCGCTTTTCACCTTCAAAGGTGTCCGGAGCTGTCGTGTGCGTCCTGCCTGGTGTCTAGCACGGTGTGGCCTCCCTCGGAGCGGACGCTCGAAAAACCCCATGGACAGGCGAGGCTATTGGGGGTCTGGTTAGACCAGCAAAGTCGAATCTTGTACTTAAGTTTTGTGAGTAGAAGCCCAAATCCTGTAAAAGGCCGGGGCGTCAGGGTAGGAGTATTCCAGGGGTGGTGAAGCCCGAGAGGAGTATAATGCCTTTGTAAGTGGCTCTTAGGTGACTGCTCGCCAGCGCAGGGAACAATCCTCTTGATGCCGCTTTGAACGAACACGTGAAAGTTCCTGCTCTGCCTTGATAACCCCATTTCTCGATATGGTCTTTGTTGCTGAGCGATTCCGCAATTTGGACTCATGCTGTTCTCAGCAAGATTTCCACTCTCCCCCTAGGCCATTCCATACATTTTTCCCCAAAGTATTTGTTAAATGCCCATTGTGTGCCTGGCAGTGTGCTAAGTGCTAAGTGGATGTAAAGATAAAATAGTTAAGATCCCTTGCTTTGAGGATAGAGTGGTTTTCTCTACTCCGCCCCCTCTAAAAATAGTAATACAGTTGAGAATTAGGAAAGTTTGAAATCTTAATAGCCAATGAGACTGCTTACATTATTAGCATCCTTTGAGAGAGGCATGGGCTTAAGAATTTGGTTGAATGTTCTTTCTGCCCATTGCAATTTGAAGATTAATCTGACATGCTTGCTCAAGGGACTAAAATATTAAAAGCTTGGAACATTAGTTTATTGAAGTTTTTATCTGAAAGGTTTCAAACAATTTGGTGTAAGGAAATAGGAATTTAAAAGCTCAAGCTCAATATGTTGATATCAGATAGCTTTTGCATTTGACATTATGGAAAAGCTTCATTTACTGGAAGCTATCCAGATTCTGGAATTCACCACCACTGAAGCATCTAATTCTACTTCATTTCTCCAAGAATGAGCAAAATTTCATTATGGGATTTTTTACTCTGGCAGTTTTTCAAATACTTTCTCTCCTCCCTGCTCCTTTTCCTGTTTCATGGAAATTGGTTAGAATAAGAAACTGATTGGACTTGGAATGAGGGCATCAGGCTCTTCTCTTAGTGTATTTTAAGGATCTTTCACTTTTGAGTATTTTAAAAGTGTATTATTTTAAATCCTGCTGCTCTATCTTAGCTTAAAACAGTTTTTCAATTAAGTATTACTTCCAAACTTCCTAACACATAACACTGTTGCTTCAGTGAGACAATCTGCTACATTTCATCCAGTGTTATGCTCATTATATTTAGATATTACATATTAATTTCTAAAGGACCCCAAAGAGTTTGCTAGTCTGCTTCCCAGTTTCCATTTCACTTAAAATGAAGACTTTGGTTATCACATAGAAACATCTGACGACTCTTCAGTAGGGGTTGGCATTATTTTTTACCAGTGTATGTAAAAGTTTTAGCAAACAGATGAAGATTTGGGGGTAAGTAGAGGAAGACGTGGAATCTAAAAATAATTGGATTTTTTCTTAGTGATGAAATGATGCTGCTGCTACAGACCCTGCACAGATTACAAGCAGTAAGTTCTCACTTCTATAGGAAATACTTAATGTCTCTCAACTCTGTGATATAGGAAAACTTCACCTTGGCTATTTAAACATATGGTTTTTATTGCATGGCCAAACTATTTTCTTTGTTTAGTGATGGACCATAAATATTAATTTCTCCTTGAATCACAAGTTATCAGATAATCAATCGCCATGTACTGGTTTTCTTAAAAAATTTTTTTATGGTAGTATTTTGTTTGTGCTACTTTTTATAATCCTCTTCCTTTTCCTCCTCATCTTCTCTCCTTTCCTAGTAATTCTCAATTACTTTTCTTCTCTAGATACTGTAGGAAGGAATATTTGTGGCATATGTGAAGTGCCCTGCATCAAAAGCTATAGTGAAAAAGTTGAAAAGATGTTAACAGTAGCATCTTCCCAGCAGAGAAGATTAAATTAGTTGTCTGTCATTGTAATGTCTATGTACAGCATTCTACAGTCAACTAGATTAGCCTGGATAATGGAGGGTATATTTCCACAATGCAAAATGGCAGATAATCTATTGCTACATAATGGGAACAAGGTTTTACTTCAAATAGGGCTGACTCTAAGCAAAATTGAGAAGTAGATCCTGTTGATTTTAGTTCCCTAGTCTTTCTGCTTTTGGTCCCCCAAGGCACCCCTCCCCATTTCTGTCAGGGATCAGTGCCTTCATGGATCACATAATAAGAGCAAGGATTCTGGAATCAAATGGATATGACTCTTGTACTCACTAGCTGTGTGTAGCCAGGAGTATATTACTCTTTCTGAGCCTCAGATTTTTCACCTTTAAAGTGTGGATAATAATTAGTATGTCCATCATAGGGGTATTATATGAACAAAATGAGCTAATGCATGCAAAATGCTTACTATTTGATACACACACACACATATATAGTATGACATGCTAGTTTATGGTACTTAATACTTAATATGTGGGTATATAGTAATACTGTAATATAAGTTGTTAATTGTAATAACTATTTTCTCTAATTAAGGCCTTCTTTCAAAGAAAGCAAGCATCTGAGGCCAGTTCCTTGGAGCAGCTCAGTGTAAATGGGTCACTTTAACTTATAGAGATGCCATTTTGTGATTATTTGTACTGAGAATCCTAAGTCCCAAACTCAAGCAATAAATGAAAAATTATGGACATTTGGGTATCAGTCATTGCAGGGGGCAGGATAGGAAACAGGGATGGGTAGGCATGCAATATAATTGGATATACATTCTATTGGTGACAAAAAAAAATCTATCTGGTGGGATAGAGAGGAGAGGAGGTGGGAATATCCTTCCAGAAGCTTTGAAAAGAGACACATAGTGGAGTTGAAGGAAGCTAACAGGAAGATGACATAAATGAATGACCTTTTTTGTCTTATTGCTAATAATTTCTTCCTGTTATTTTTGTGTTGCTTTTTCCCCCAATTATTTCTTTGGGAGGCTATTCTTTCTCACTGCCTTTATGCTTCCTTTTTTATTAATGTATGTTTTCTCCCTTGATTTGCATGCCCAGAGTTCTAGAAGACTCCTCTTTGTCATTGTTGAGTATGGATAGAATTATAGCATTTTATCGAAAAAAAGATTGAAGAGATAATTTAGTCCCACAATTTTCACAGGTAATATGACCCTAGAAAGGCGAAATGATATGCCCAAGGTTTCTTGAGGGAATTTGTGTCTTCGTTTTTATAATTTATATTCAATGTTTTGCCTGTTATGTGTAGTATGAAAAGTATAGTGAAGAGTGTCTTAAGCACCTACTTACTACATGCCGGGCACTATGATAGTTGTGAGAAGAGAATTTCAGTGTCAGCTCTGCGGAGCCTAGGCTATTAGGGAAGATAGACTGTAATCTTTGGTAAGTGAATATCATTACCATTCTTAAGTAATGTTGGAAAGATACTCCATCTGTATCCTTTTGATGGCAATTTTTCTTTTGTGACCTCCATTCCATTGGTTCGGTTAAAATAGTTGGAACCCTGTGGATATTGTATTAAATAGGACCCTCCTTGTTGCAAGTGATACAAACCTAACTCAAATTTATTTCAGCCAGCGGGGAATTACTGGCTTACATAACTACACCATAGGAAAGTTAGGAGTAGACATGGTTTTAGGAAGACTGGAACTAGGAATTTGGGGTCTTTCTCCCCCAGTTCTTTGCATATTGCAGTTTATTCTATCATATTGGCTCATTCCACATTATGGGTAAATGGCCTTCACATGTAAATAGCTTCACAAGCCAAGAGGAAAGCAGACGTTCTCCAAGTTCCAGTTTGAATTGATGGGGAATGACTCTGATTAGTCCAGCTTGGAACTTGTGCCTGTTTTTTCAGCCAGTCATTGTGGCCTGGGAGATGAGGTTCTCTGGCCCACCTTGTATTTCAGAACCACCCCCATGACACGTGTGTGTGTGTGTGTGTGTGTGTGTGTGTGTGTGTGTGTGCGATCAGTTATCAGAAGAAGGAAAACTAGGATAGATATGGCTCCCTGGTAGACTGTTGGGTTGTGGACACTCCCTCCAATTATGTCAACTACAGGTGCAAATAAGTGAGAAATAAATGAAATTTCACATTTCTTCTTTGCATTCCACTTAGGAAAATTTTTAAGCCATAATGCAACTTGAATTTATTTGCAGCATCTGGAAACCGTTGTATATGAGAATTAACTGAAGGAACTGGTAATTAATATGGAGGTGAGGGAAAAAAGGAGAGACATTGAAGTTGTTTTCAATTACTCAAAGGAAGAAGATGTAGAAGGTGGGGGAGACTTGTTTTGTATTGCTCCAAAGGATGGAACTAGGATAAGAAGTGATGGGATTTCAACTCAGAGTAAGAAAGAACTTCATAAAATTTATGACGTCTAAAATGAGCATGAACTCTTTTGAGAAGTGTCGCGCTCCCCAGCAGTGAAAACTTTAGGACTGGGTGGTTAACCACTGATATTGTAAAAGGAATGCCTTCCTGGGGAAAGGCTTAGCCTGCATGGCCTTTTACTTTAAAGTTCTGTAGTTCTAATCTAAGCTGAGATCACGTAAAGAAAAGAAAACAAGGATTGTAAATGAACTAGTCAGTTATCCAACATTTGTAAATATTTCTACCAAGGAAACTTTTGGTAAAAAACAGTCTGATGGTATAGACTATAGAATGTTTTAGACATTCAGGACCAAAAGCAATAAATGGGTCCTGTGTATTAGATCATCTTCTTCTTAATAATAAATATAAAAAGGTAAGATGAGAAAATATAATATAACTTGCCACAAAAAACCAGAACAACTTTGAAATATCATCTGGTTATTGCTTTTCCTTTAGACAGCAGGCTAAAATATATAAGGAGGCTGCAAAGCTCT